TTTATGGTCACCCACCCCCGAAAGTTTTCTGCGGGCGCCCATGCATCTCACATGGCTATTCAGGATTTGATAAGGATGTAAATTGTAATACATCCAACAAAATTATTTACTGCTTGTTAGACCAAAACAATAATAGCGCCCTTTAAAATATAGGTTTTTAAATATTTTGACGGTGAAAAGAAGCATTTACCTGTTTTTTCTTTTTTAAATTAATAAATAAGCCCATACAGCCTCAATTTCCAATGACAGCATCATTCAAATGTTTGTATAAGAAGATAAATACTAGTAATTACCTTGACCAACTTCATGTGTCTCCATGAGCACCAGTTTGAGAGACATTTTGGAATCTAGGTTGATTATTTGTGGCTATGATATACTAACATAAGCCCAACTACAATACAACTACATAATAATGGTAGTAGCCACTGACGGACTGGATATGTAAAAAAATTATATTAAACCATGAACACCATGCCCAACAATAAACATTTGAAGAAGATAGTTTCACTTCAGGAACAGAACAATCAAGAACACTGAAAATGTACTGATACAGAAATCTGGAATTATTTACATTATTTTTGTTGTTTTGATTCCTTTAAAAACAAGATATGCAAATGATTATTAATACCAATGCCTTACTGTACAAACATAGCATTCCATAACAAGCGGGAGTTATACCTTTTATAACATACAAAAATCTTGATACCAGACTACTGAACATCTGCTACAATTCAGTTTTCCACTCACAGAGCAATATTTTGCCACTTAAGCAAGTATTTTAAAGTAGAAGCTTACCAAAACGACATGCACATATATATTTGTATCTTCATTTATATTTTTCCATATATCATAAATATATATACACACTTTTAATAATTAAAATAATTACTAATTTGTTATCAAACATTTCCTAGCGACAAATTCCAACCTTTCTCAATCTTAATTCAAATGGGTTTACTTAAATAGAAACTAAAAAGTGTAAGTAAGAGTTACTATAGCAGTATTTTTACTTTCCGCAAAATATGTGACAACATATTAATTTCAATTTTGGAAGGCAACTAAAACGCACATTAGATAGATAGCAGTCCGGCAAAATAATATTTAAACCCTGGCTTTTGTCTCTAGTCTAATTGATCAGCCCCGCTTTCTAGAGAACCATTTAAAATTAATTTCCAAACAATACTACATAGAATTAAATTGCAAAGATAGCATGCAACATACTATCATTTTATTAATAACGTATTTGTATTTCCTAAGTGTGCGGATTCCCTCTTCTAAAGAAAGTGAAATATGAATTTAGATAAAAATATAAAAAGCAAAATATTTCAATATATAACTTTTTAAACAGTTATGTAATTATGTAATTTGGTAAAATATTAATTCAAAATATCTCATGATTAATCAAGACAGATATCAGTAAACTATCGCTAACACTTAACTTGTATTTTCTAACATATGCATGTTTTTGGGTAAACTTAAAAAAAGTATTAAAAGGAAATCTTGCATCATCTGCAAATAACAAAAATTAAAAACAAATGTAATCAAAATAAGAAACAATTCAAATTGAATTTTTCTTAGATATTTTATATGCTCTCATGTTTGCAATTTATAATTTGTAAAACATTGAGTGTACATCGAAGCATAAATGAAAGTGATCAATATCTGAAGTTGATTGGTGAAGAGCATTTAAATAATTTGACCAGCAAAACTATTTGCTTTTCAACTGGATTTTTATGCAGACTGCTTGATAAGGTTGAGAGAAAAAAATGACAGCTTAAATTCATAGTAAGAAAACATAACATGATGACAGAATTTTTCACTTCTCATACATTCCAAAAAAGTCCACTCACACAGCATGATTACAATGTTAAATTCAATGTTCAGACATACTACTACTGCCTTCTCAAGTTGTCTAATCTTGCTTCCAGATCTGCATCTGCATCTGCCACAGCAGCTGCTTGTGGTGCTTTGCTTGCATCTGCAGTTATAGTTTTTCCTATGCTTGGTAAACCTGAAATAAAAATAAATGACACATAAATAAGTAAAATTTAAATATTTCATGCTTGCTTTTTTTAAAATGTTAATATATCTGTTTGGATAAAAATATCTATTTAGGTATATTGGTTGCGAAAATATACAATATTTATGCATTAATTAATTAATTTATAAGAAGGTTAAAAAGGACTGAAAAACATGTTTTTAAAAGCCCCCCGCCCCCATTACCCAGGATAAAATAGCTCACCAAAGATCAATTCAATTTGAAACATCACAGACCTTATCAGATATGTAACTTAAATACCTGTTTTTTTACCCCAAAAAAAAAAAAATGGTGATAGCAAAAAAAGAGATTATAAATACATTTACCCGACATCTCATCAGCCATCTGTAAGCCCAATTCATCAAGCACTTGGGATACAATGGCATCACTGTAAGATATAGAAACAAATATACTTGAATATACATATATTCCAATAATAATAAAAGGGCAAGTGATCTGATGTTACTTGTCTACAATTTTTTTTCAAAGTATTTTGCATAAAGATCTGATTGCAATCTTTGATAAATTCTAGGAAATGAATTGTATAAAATAATGTATGTAAGACTATTTCAGGTAAGTTACAAATCTGTTATTTCAATACTTATAATATACTTTTGGTGCTATCAAGTCTGGTTATTTCAGACTTTAAATAACTCTTCACTTAAATTTAAAAAAATGAATTTAAAGTAACTATGAATTTTGTGCAATTTGACAGAGAACTTTTGATAGCATAAATTATAAATTGCCCCTGGATGAGTCTCTATACTTACCCGTTGCATGCTGCCATGTCCATGGTCCAAAAAAATATTTGAAGCATCTTTATTCTGAAAGCTTACCAGATTATTACCATCCTCATCATATCTGCAAAGTTATTAATTACCTCTCTTCCTCATCATCCTCATCCCCTAGGGCATCATCGATGGCATCACTCATCATTTCCTCTTTCATGTCCATAATTTCCGATTGCTTCTCAAACTCCATCATGATTTTTTGTATTTGGGGAAGTTTCATCTGGAAAAAGATAAGGATAATTTTTTTATTGGGAATGCTCTTAACAGGACAATATTGTATGGCAAAAAATATTCAGCATGTACCTGGGACATCACTCACATTACAATTCTTTAAATAATGTAAAACCAAATTAATGGAAAATTTTTCCCAGACAGAAATATGTCCAAAATAATCCTCTACAAATTTGTTTTCCCAACTTAGCATATCAGCCATTACACTTGTTAGTAAAGTAAATAATATCCTACTGATATTTCTGTTTCTCTGTTTCCCTATATTTCACCTATTTTCTTATTGCTGTGTGTTGATGTATCCCTGGATATTCTGGTCCATTATTATTGTGGACTTCATTTTTCACAGTGTCAATATTTATATTCTCTCGCTTCCTGTGTTCCCACTTCCGGAGACACGAATGTATAATAATTGAGTTGTCTACTGTGCTCTTATCTTTGTTATATTTTCATTTCTATTGTTGGCTGAGGAAGGCTTTATGCCGAAACGTCCTTGTTTTTTGTCCTGTTATCTTATTTCAAGCTTCCACATACCTCGTTTCGCTATTTCATTCATTTACTAAGCTTGAAAGCAGTCCTTTCATTTATATTTAGTAAAGAAAAGATGCATCTATCATGCACACTGGAATAAAATTCAGCGGGCCATTGAACTGAAGCTTTTAATACCCTCCCAAAAGCTCACCTCTTCAAGTCCAAAAAGACCCCACTATCGGGCCCCGGAGCAGCACATTGGAGGTACCCTTCTGTTGGATACAGCCATTAAAAGTTACTGTTCTTATTTTTGCAATAGATCTGTAGAGACGCTTTATTTTCTGATCTGTATTATGCTGGTGACCAAATTAATTCTAGCTGGATTCAAGATGTTACCTATATACACTTCAAAATAAGTAATTCTAGTATTCACCTGACTAGTCTACATTCCAAAATTGATCTCTCTAAGATAAGAGTAAGAGGAACTCAAACAAAAAAGGCATCACCATATACTGATTTAAATTTAAACAAACAGATCTTGTTCATGCCAGTTAATTTGAAACAAACAGAGATTGTTCATGTAGGTTAAAATAAAAGGTTTTTAAAAATCTGTCTGAATCAATTAACTTAAGAGAAAACTATAAATCCATTTCACCTGTTTATTCATAGCTGCCATGGCTTTTGTGACTCCTTTCATAGCTTGAGCCATCGTATTGTTGGCTTTGAGGGTTTGGATCTTCAATGAAACTGCCTGGATGTTTGCACGAAGAGAAATGAACTTCTTCACATACCTTCTTGTTCTCACCAAATCTTTGGCCATAATTTTGACAGCATCCTGTACAAGAGTTGCAAGGCTTTTATAATAGCTTTCAAGTTTTCCTAAAAGCTTTAAACAACTGTGCTAATGCAAATTGGTGTGGTAGTTACCAACCAGTGGCATTAATATAACTTATATCAATTCATAGGTTTATTAGGAAAAATTAAGCAAATTTAACAACAATTAAGAGTCAGGGTTTTAAATGTGTTTATAAAAAGAAAATAAAAAAAATAAATAAAAAAATCACACCATAGCTTACCATTTGACCCTGTTTTGCCATTTTTTTAATGTCTACAATAATTTTTTTCTCTTGCTGTTCCATCTTTTGTCTTTCCCTATCAAGATCACGCATAGCTTTGGTGAGGGCTCTCTGATTTTGCCTCAACATTTCCTCAGGGGTCTTTTTGCGACCAAACAAAAATTCAAGTGGCATGGTGACAATTACACTTATCTTTTTAGCAAAGATGTTCCTTTTTGTTCAACAGTTTCTTTTGGTTTACTGTTGGTAGCTCTGTTCCAGTTTTCAGATATTGGATTGTTCTTCAAAAAAACCAAAAAAACAAAGAAATGTAATTCTGAATATTTGGCTGTACAATAATACATTGTCAATGTCAGGCTGAAAGAATACAATTTTATACATATTCATATAAATAACAAAGACATGGATATGGTTAAGAAGAAAGAAATATTAATATTAGGAAAGTATTGAGTAACATTTAAACAAGTAACTATTTTAAAAATCAAATTAATAAACACATGTCTTATCAATGATAATAACATATTAATTTTGTAGTTTCAATAAGACTGTATCAATAAGTGCTGTCATTTGTCATCAATCATTTTATCTCAATCTCATACTCACAGAAGTTATTTTACTTTTAAGTTTAAAGGTAAACTAAAGCTTAATTTTGGCTTAGCTAAATGTCTAAATATGGTTAATATAGGCTTTTAGGAGTCAATCTTCAAAATGTTATAAAATAGTATAAACACTACACTACACACTTTTGATCTTGGTATGTTGTATTGTATGTGAATGTGACAATATAGGCATCATTATTTTAGAGTATAAAATTTTTCCCCCCAATTCAGTGGTGATTTGAATATCCAATTCCAACTTTTCAATCTTATTAAAAATATTAGTAGGTCTTATCTTATTCATTTCAGCAAGTTAAATTGAGCCTGTTTTAGTTTTATAATATAATAAGCTTTTTAAATTTAAAAATTAATAGCTGAAGACTAGACTGACTGGCTAAATTGGTTTGCACCGTGTCCCGTCAGCAAAGTGTCAATTATAATTATAAAATAAGTTGACTAAATTTGTGGATCATCATAATATAACTCTTAACAGTAAACTAAATAAACCCCACTAACTTACAGTAGTTAATAATGTTACTATATTTATAAGTAAGCAGCAATTGTCACATGATCAGGGTAAGGCAGTAATATAATTTCAGAAATGTTGTGACACACCAATGTTTTACTCATAAATATATTTTTAGATCATTTTTCCAAACACTATTGTTGACTTCCGTATCGTGACGTCAGCCCGTTTGGTCTTGATTTTATTTTTCAAGGCCGCTGTATTTATTTTTGCATTAATAATGCTAAAATAAAAGATATCACGCTATTAAATAGCATTGCAACATATTATCCCAATATGACTGGAATAATAAAAAATTATAATTTATTTCTAACAATAACTTACATGTTCAATTTTTGATTGTAACACAGTTTTTAATTTTAGTCTTTAGAAATACAGGATTTAAAATAAAACTTATAATTATAAGTCAATTTTGTTCAGAAGTAAGAACAGCAACAAAAAAATTGAACGAAAAAAAAAGGATGGTTTCCTAAATTTTTAAGCCCTTTGTGATAATATAGTGCGCGTTTAACTTTCAATCCATTGGAGAGCTGAATTTCCCCCAGATGATTAATTACTGAAAAGATATGTGCCTGCAAAGAATCTGGCAATTTAAATCGATATCTAAGATGGCGGCATCCCTGCAGTGATGTGCTGTGTGGGGTAAGATATCTTGTAATTGCATCCTCCAAAGTCAAAAACACAATGATTCATTGCTTATAATGAAAGCATAACTCAAAACTTTGTTTCCATAATTGAAGGGGCCTAATATATTTGATTTTTGCAAAATAATTTTAATATGAACCTACATTTCTTACTGGATTGTTTTTGGAAAAAAAAAAAAATCAAAGGAATGATCGACAGGGCATGAGACTAATTAACTAATGATTAATCATTCTAATGAGAAATTCCAAAAGTAGGCCAGATTTGGTCGTTCACTCAAAAATAATTTATATGCCTAAGCCTTAATTTGCCTTAAGAAATAATGAGAAACTTATACTTATAAGACGCCAATAATGAAAATAAATGATAGAGATAAAAGCAGGGTTTTGCCTTCGAATTGGAAGCTCTATCTATTAACATCTGCTACAATATTGTAGGTACTTTGATAAAACAAGGTAGTCTACTAAAACATTTGTATGGAAAATTGGCGTTGACAAGGGAGAATCTGAGTTTTTAATCTTTGAATGTCAGTGCTTTTGTAGGGATAACAATACTTGTCCACGCACCGTTCTGCGCATGTCCTAAAATGTCAAAAAAACGTGTTCTGCAATATGGCGTACAGCTACACGGTATCATTGGAAAATTGCATACTACGTCACCTTTGTTTATAAAATAATTGCTTATCAGTTTTTGTGTTCTGGTTGATTTATGCTACTACAATATTTTTTGTGCATCACGGGCAGTATTATTATAATGACTCGGTTAGTATATAAATCGCATAAATACTTTTTTACTAGTAAAGCCACCAAAATAATGTTTAGTGCTCCCTAATCTACATTCATTGTAAGAGTTTTTTCAATTTTTGAGTAATTATCATTGAGCTCTCTGTAAAAAGTTATGCAACCCGCGAAGAAGTGGGGGGTGTGAAATTATCATTATTTTTTTTATTTTGATCGAGAAGCCGGAAATAGCTGCTATCACTGTGATTCGTTAATGTTAAATCCTTAAACATCTAAATAATTATAAGACAATTAAAATGAATCATTTTAAGAAAAGATTATAACCAAACTTGAAAAGTGTATGTAGTAACCAAGTGTTGGTTTTAAGTTTTATTTATTACGTTAAAATTTGTGTATGGTACCGGTACACAGTTTATCGTTTTTTCATTATTGAATCAATATTCAATTAATAGTTTTACAATAGAAATATCGATAATAATAATCCTTTTTCTCTTATTAATTATTTCAGAGAATATTACTAAAATTAGGCCTACTTATCATTATCAGTTATAATTATAAACAACTGTTATTATAATCCTATAACAGTCTATTTAGGCCTAAGTTTAATTTTTCTTAATCTAATTCTATTACAAGCCTATAAGTTCTATATTTAACAATAACAGTTTTATTAAAATACATCAAATAAATAAACAAGACTTAAACAACATCATCATAGCAATTATATTTTTATTAGGGAATAGCAGTACATAGACAATTATTTAATATATCAAATAACATTTTTTAATGAATTAGTCTCATCATTATAATCATATTATCATCATGGATGATTTTATTTGAGTAATTTTTATTTATAATTACTTGCGTTCAATTTTATAAATAAAAAAGACTACTTACCTTTTTATAAATATAATGATTTAAAATTTAACACAAGCATAATAAAATTAGTTAAAATTCAATAAATATGTTTTGTTTTTTTCGTTTTTTTCTGTATAAATAATGATTTTCCCAATTTTTCTATTCACTTTTTTCTGAACATACCCACAAATAAATTTATTAAAAAAATAAAAGTCTTAATGTTATATAAAAGTTTTGTTGTTTATTGTACTGTATATTGCATTGAGAATGTCTCCTGAACATTTGGTAGCATTATCTTTTAAAATCAAAAAGTTTTGGGTAAAATAAGGCAGACATTTTGAAAGTGGGTCACACGTTTTTTTCAGTTAAATATAGAAGGGGGTGTTTAAAAATCACCATAAAAATCATAACTCCACTTCTATAAAAGATAGAAAGATGAAATTGGTGTTGTTGTAAAGCTTATAGCTAGCCCTTTAAAATGAAGTATCATTCATGGCAATTGGACAATATTTAAATTTTGTGTCACAGTACCTACTGTGAAGTGTTTTAATGGAAATGTGAAATAATGTATAATAATTTTTGAATTAAAAGTTTTTTAGGCTAATTCAGATTGACCAGGTTTAGGGATACATTTTAGGGTTCATGTTAGGTTTAGGGATACATTTAGCTAATTTAGGGTTCAGGTTAGTTTAGGGATACATTTAGGACATAAGTTCGTGGGTCACGATAACCAAGATGGCGGCCGCGGGCTGATCTCTCTGAAATGTTTTTTATGCAAAAGAACATTTGTTTTATGTGAAGTGTGAATAATAATAATTTTGAAGTAAATTAAAATTGAAGTATCCACTTCTGATACCGGGTCCGAATAGTCGCAGCCAAACTTTTCATTACAATTACAGATAAGACAGCCGATTTGCCGCAAAAAAAAAAAAGCAACTATGATCTTGAATCTTGATCGATGTCATGTTAATGATTATAGAACTATATTTAAAATAGAATTAAAAAATACAATAAAATTATAAACATAAACATTCTTACTTGCTTTTAGCTGTACGTCACATGTTTCTTTAACGATACAGGAAAGTCTTCAAAAAACGGCACATTTTTCGATTGATAATAATGGCTCTAAGATGGTAAACCAACAGGAAGTATCCGTCATAACCATCACGTGACCAACCGAATATATATCCAAAGCCGTATCCGGAAATTTAATCGAAAGAAATTTCGTCAACGGTAAATTGGTCGACGGTAATATGATCGAACGGAAATTTGGTCGAATCTTCTTTTCAATTTTTAAGTAACAATTTTGCATCAAATTTCTTTTTGAACGAATTATTTTGTTTAACTAAATAGTATAGTGCGTTCAAAAAGAAATTTGACGAAAATTTCAACGTGCGAACGGAAAAAAAGATTCGACCAAATTTCCGTTCGATCAAATTACCGTCGATCAATTTACCGTCGACGAAATTTCTTTCGATCAATTTTTGCTATAGGTACCTAGAGCCACTCCGGTTGTTTTTTTGTGTGTTTTTTTTTTCACCCTATGGCCAGATTTTTAATCACCTATACTATAACCTAGTATGCTAAACGAAATTTTCAAGCTGTAGGCATATTCACCAAAAAATAATAAACTACTGGAGAAAGAAAAGAGGGAGGGGGGGGGTAACTTAGATGTTCTGTATTGGGAACATTTTTTTAGACGGAAGGATGCCAAACATATCTATAGCTAACATCTAAATTAATGGGTATGTAAAAACACATAAATATTTTTTTTTAAAATTTCTCTTCTCCCAAGAAAAATCTAATAAAATACAATCCGAAACGTATCCCGATCTCAAGTGGTATCCCTTCCCAGTTTTAATCTCATTCTCCATTATATTAATTCTTCTTCTTCTTCTATATCTTAAGGGCCCACGATCAATTTATTGATCATTTTGGCTCCTAATTTATAGGATCCCGACTTCAGTTAGATCCCGATACAATAGGATCCCGTTTCCCAAAATGATCCAATTTCCACATTGGGATCCCAACACATGGGATCCTTATCCCAATGGGCATCCAATTTCCACATTGGGAACCTGAACCCAGTGGGATCCAGTTTCCCTGATGGGATCCCATTCCTATGGAGATCCTGTTCTTGGTGGGATCTCTATTTCCAGTGGGATCTATATTCCGGTGGGATCTCTATTTCCAGTGGGATCCCGTTCCCCGGTGGAGTCCTGCTCTCCGGTGGGGTCCTGCTCTCTGGTGGGATACTACCCTGACTGATTCCCCTCCTCTGACTGATTCCCCTCTTCTGCCCGATAAACAATGCTGCTGGCTGTCGTCCATGGTTTGCCTTGTAAAAGTTCTGGGGTGGGGTGGGTGAATATACATCTGTTTTTTGTTGTTTTGGATACACGCTGTTCTTTATTTCATGTATGTCTGTTATTTTAATGTCATGATTATGTCTCTGTTGATAATAGTTTTATGTACAGCGCGAAAGATCCCGAAAATCAAATGGCCAAATATTATTACCAACAAAGATCTGCTACTACTACTAGAAAGGACTCAACAGGTGCCCATTGACGAAGCTATCTTAAATAAAAGATGGAGATGGATAGGACATACTCTCCCAAAACCCCAAGATAGCACCACCAAAAAATTCCTAACGTGGAATCCACAGGGAAAAGGAAAGAAAGGAAGGCCAAAGAATACATGGAGACGCGAGCTAGAAGCAGACGCAGAAAATATTGGATACACCTGGAAACAACTGGAAAGGAAGGCACAGGACCGTGATGAATGGAGAATTCTTGTGGATGGCCTATGCCCCAGACTGGGTAAAAAGGCTTAAGAAGAAGAAAAAGATTTTGAAAGTGACCAAGGCTCAGAATTTATGCGTGAACGAATTTCAAAATATATAAATATTTCAGTTTCGGCCTCGGTTTCGGCCGAAAGTCTCTTAAAGGTTTCGGTTTCGGCCGAAAGTCTCTTAAATGTTTTGGTTTCGGCCCGAGAGTCATTTTTTTAACTTTGGGCCTATTTTCGGTTTGGGCCGAAATTTAAAAAAAAACACTTTCGGTCGGTCTCTAAATGCAGCCCTACGGACTGCACTTTTACCCCTTTCTGTACGACATGAACGTATTCAAATATGAAGGGAAAATATCACAGCTTCTGCCCTCTCATCGGTACTATTAACGTACATCAATAGAAGATAGATGTTACACCGTTATCAGTATGGAGAATTTAATCTCTTATTCAAGCGTATGGCTCGTTCTAAAACAGTACACACAAAAGACGAAACAATATGATAAATACAATAACAAAGAATACGATACTCAAACCATTTTTAGTCTTGTTCCAGCACTTAATAATCCTCTCGGCGGCCATGTTTCTCAGTATTGCAGAATTACTTATACTAATATAAATTTCATGAAGATTCTATTTGCATTCCACATGTAAATGCCAAAAAAAAAATAAAAAAATAATAATAATAATTACTCTAACTCATTCGTTACACCCTTTTTACAAACACCCCAATTGATGTCCACTTGGTTTCCCAGGCCATGTTTTCCCTGTGTGGTCATAAAACATCAAGAAACGCCAGAGTCGACTCCTCCCCCACCTTTTGTACTTTTGTCCGGTACCTAGGGCAATTGTTCCCAGACAGGTCAAGCCCTGGCCATTAGTGACACGACCCGGTACAAATTTCTTTTTTTAAGGCAGACGAACCGGTAACAAAACACATGCATTGTAACAAGTCTACAAGTATTTAAGTGTGAAAATAAATTCTTTAAGAAATAGGCTAATGCCAGCTGCGGGCTTATTGGTTTAAATCACAGATGCGATCCCGATGAGATCTCGCTCCTTTTGGGGTCTCATTTCCCAGTTGGCTCCCATTATGCAGACTCTGGGTACATGGGCGCCCGCAGGAGGGGGCAAGGGGGGCACTTGCGCCCCACCCCTGGATTGATTGGATAAACAAATTTTAGAAAAAAATAGACAAACAATTTATTAAAGTTTTAAAGTAAATAGAAAATAAAGAGAAAGTAATTAAGCTGATGTCCTGTCCGTTCGTTCACCATACAAATACGCTACAGTAAATTAAAACTAAATTAAAACATTACTAAAAATCCCCCCCCCCCAGAAAGTTAATCGATTTTTTTGCCCCCCCCCCTAGAAAGCTTTCTGCGATCGTTCACCATACAAATACGCTACAGTAAATTAAAACTAAATTAAAACATTACTAAAAAACCCCCCCCCCCAGAAAGTTAATCGATTTTTTTGCCCCCCCCCCTAGAAAGCTTTCTGCGGGCGCCCATGTCTGGGTAGCGTTATTTTAATTACATGTCAGTGATAGAAAAATCTAAACCTGTTGGATATTTTAAGCGATTAGAGACATGAAATAGGTGACCAGCAAGGTGTCAAACGTGAAAGTCACGTGCTAGCAGTACGGACGGCAAGCGGAGGTACTGTGCAATGTGTCAAACGTGAAAGTCACGTGCTAGCAGTACGGACGGCAAGCGGTGGTACTGTGCAAGGTGTCAAACGTGAAAGTCACGTGCTAGCAGTACGGACGGCAAGAGGTGGTACTGTGCAAGGTGTCAAACGCGAAAGTCGTCACGCGATGGTTTCATTTTTTGCAGGCAATCACCTCAGTTTAAAAAAAAAATTATATTAATGATCTACTGTTGGTCACATGATATGCCACAGTCCATAATAAAGCACGAGACAGCAATCACATCAAATAACACAGTTGTAGATTGGTGCAACTTTATACGTGAAGAATGTGCCGTGTGGCTGGAAAATAATCCCGAGCAAATTGGAGGCCTGGACAATAATAATAATGGACAACCAAAAGTGGTGGAAATTGATGAGTCCAAATATTTCCATCGCAAATATCACCGAGGCCAGTGGCGAGATGGCCAGTGGCGAGATGGCCACTGCCACTGGGTGTTTGGTGGCATTGAACGCGGCACAGGTAAATGCTTTCTCGTCGAGGTTCCCGACCGTACAGCTGCTACACTGGGTATATACAGGGTGGGCCCAAAAAAAAAGTGAGAACATCTCGTAAAATATTACGCTACGAAATGTTCTCACTTTTATTGGCCCACCCTGTATATGCACAATGTTATCGTCCATCAACTGAACTTCGTCGATCCAGCCGATACCGAACACGTGGAAAATATGTGGATGGGAGCGAAACGCAAACTTCGCCATCAATTCGGAACATCCCGTGAATTGTTCCAGTCTTATCTATACGAATTTGTGTTCCGAAACAAGTTCCGCGATCAGGATATGTTTGTGACATTCTTAAATCACAGATAATTATCCAGTTTGAAAATTTAAAAAAATATTTTGTTTTATTTACGTTAAAAATCAATGAATGATTTATTATGAATTAATATAAATACCTCCAATGATATGATTATTAATGATAATGATATATTTCTGATATGACTTGTTTTATTTACGCTCTCCAACAACATGGTGTATGTATGTCTGATACAATAACTGTTGTTTAATTTACCTTCTTCAACGGCATGTTACATTTCTGATATAATAACTGTTTTATTTATGTTCTTCAACTTTTCTGACATAATAACTGTTGTTTTATTTGCGTGCTTCAATATTTATGATATAATAACTGTTGTTTTATTTATGTTCTTCAATATTTATGATATAATAACTGTTGTTTTATTTATGTTCTTAGTAACAATGTTAAATAAAGTATAAAGCGTTACAGGCTCACCGGATGAATATCAGCCGCACTAATTGTCTGGTCGCCAGACGTGTATACACATACACTGCCGCTAGACACAAACAGTCGCAAATTGTGGAAGAATATGCATTGACTTTCACCCCACTTTGTATTCAAAATTAGGGATTAATTTTCACTTGAGTTAAATTACTTCAGGTTATACCAATTGCAGTAAGTAGTTCAGTAGGCATACCAGTGACTCTGATTGATTGATTGAAAGTAGTAACAGTAACGTACTGTCGTACTACCAGCGTACCAAGTCCAATGTCATTATTATGATAAAATCCCTGCCAAGCGCAACAATTATTTTTTTTTTATATATATCATTTTATGGAGTGGCAACAACGTTCAATAGTTTCAATCAACAACTCAGTATAGGCCTAGTAGTAATTAGTAGTATAGCTTTCTTCATAAATTTAAATCGTTATGGCAAAAATCTTACCCCTGATATTATCTATGACTATAGACTATAGTCTATAGCCTAAAATAATATAAGGGCTCACGCAATGTTCTGATCATTTTGGCTCCTATTTATTATTTATGTAGTGTAGAGGGGATTCGGGATGTCTCTGTGCCTGGTTTCGAAGCCACTGGTTGCAAGAGCTACTCAGGGAGGGTATCAGGAACCGAAGCAGGACTTTTTGGCGCAGGACATTTTGGCGCCATTTTAAAAAAAACTTTTTATTTAACTTAACGTTTATAAACTTTTAATAAAGAGAATGCAAAATATATAAATTAAGAAACGTTTAAAAATAACTTTTTATTTAACTTAACGTTTATAAACTTTTAATGAAGAGAACACATAATAGTATCCTTCGTCATTCAACTTTTCTTCACCACGCTTCGATGTAACATTTTCCATTTTACTGGTTTAACAGAATTATAATATGTGATATATTTATGAAACTCTGCTTAACTTATGATTTTAGTTTAGAACACTCTTGCACTTTTATAAATGTGAAGCGCACGCATGATTAGGCAGGAACGGTAAATAATGGCTTAGGCCATCTGTGCGCCAAAATGACCTGCGCCAAAACGGCTCTGCATCAAAACGGTCACGCCATAACGGCGGCGCCAAAACGTCACATACCGTCAGGAACTGGAGGCTATTTACTACACTACACCACCACCTACTCCTCGCAAAAGTTCCCCTAAAATTAAAAAGACACACCAAATGAAACCAAGATTATTATCTGTATTTATACAGTACTATTTTGTGCTGGTTAACTCAATTCAGGTACCGATAGTCCTACTATGAATTATGCATAGTATGGTGAGGCCTTATGCCCCAATTTCATAACTGCATTTTCTGGGGAGCGGGGTCACTGAGCCCCCACCCTCAATTTTGTTCAGGAGCCATCAGTCAGTATCCAAGTTTATGCTCCCCCACCCCTGTCCATCAAAGTGACTGTCCAGCACCTTTTTTACCTACATTAAAGCACAATATATATAATTACTCACTTTGACTTGTTTATTTTAATATTCACTATGATTAATATGGAAATGAATTTCTATTTATCTTGACACATCTAAAGTAAAGTGGCTAGTCATATGCATTCAAATTTCAACCAAGATTTTTAATCCAGGATGAGGATCAATTCTTTTCAATATAGAATATATTAAAATAGGACCCAATACTAATACTATCAGACTCTAGTCTATGTTGAATATACAGTATTATTATATCATTGTTGATAATACCTTGTCATTTTACTAACTAGAAATCTACTCTATAGCAAATTTAAGATTGGATTATCATTAGTCATTTCAAGATTTTTACTTTGTGAGGCAAAATTCAAAGTTTTCATAAAAGTCATTTTAATTAAAAAATTTTTACTACCGTAAGTCTAAGCGTAACACCATTTTCAACTTTTTTAGTCAGTAGCAAAACTATACAAACCAGAGTTATTATGCAGAGCACTCCACAAGCAGGCTGACAACATGGCAATGGAAGTCAGTGCAGAGGAAAATCCTTCTAAGAGATCACTAGAAAATAAAACTGGAGGAGACAATGTTGAAACAAAAATATTTAAAGATTCTTCATGTGATCAAGTTTTAACCAAAATCATCATTGAAACAGGTATTCCATTTTCATGCCCAAACCTTGAGTCAGTGTGCACATTTGATATTGAGTTCAACTGCTCTGAAACAAATAATCATGTTAACGACTTGAAGGAAAGTCTGGGATTAAAAGATAGTAAAACTATTGAACATAAATTAGGTTCATCCGAGTCAAAATTTAAAGTCCTCTTGGAGAAATGTGTCATGACGATGTGCAGTGGTGAGGTGAGCATGTTTAGGATTAGTGCCTGTATTCCATCAGTGTCATCAGAGACCAATAAAATTGATAAGTTATGTATCACAATACATTTACGCTCATTCAAATCAGTCACACCTCTATGGCAATCGTCCTCTCAAGAAAAATACAACCTGGCTCTTTTCCACAAAGAGAATGGGACGAATTTCTTCAAAGCAGGGAAAATTGAGGCAGCTTTCCTTCAGTACAGTGTTGCTGTTAAATATCTCATTTGCATTCTTGAATGTACAGATGTTTCCATCAGAGAGATCGATCAAGAGAAAAAAGACAAAATCAAAGAATATAATTCACTGAAGCATGTCTGTTATTTAAATATTGCTGCCTGTCATTCAAAAGTAGGTCATCATTCAAATGTCATCAGTAGCTGCTCCAAGGCATTAGAAATAGAAGAAAACAGTGTCAAGGGCTTATATAGACGTGCTCAAGCCTACAAAGCTTCTGGACAGCTGAATGAAGCAAGGTATAAGTATATCATAATTATTTTTCTATATTTTCTTTATACAGTTGAATAAGAAAATTTGATAATATTAGAAATATTATCTTTTAAAAATTAGAAAAGACATATTTTTTTAAAAAATCATTTTAAGATGTTAGGAAATAGGTTTTAAAGAATTCATCCTAAATAAACGCTTTTTAACCAACATTTAAAAATTAACCAAGATTAATAAACTTAACTTCATGACAATTAAGATATAATTATTACTAATTAGATTACACCAGTAAGCATGATGACCATCCACGGCAAAGCATTGTCTTTCAAAAAGTAAATATTTTCTTGTTAGAAAAAAACTGAAGTTAATAACAATAATCATTTGATGATATTTATATCACTCGGGTAGATTAGCGTAATGATTTAATTTTTTATATCTGTGTCTAGTGAATGTGCAGAAAAATTTGTCTAGCATTTCTTTTAAACGCTTTACTACTCTTGTAAATTTATTACTAAGAAAAAATATCTTGTTTATTAATAGAGCTTTGGGCTTCTTTGCATTGCTTGAAATATCACAAGCTTTTCATGATGAGTGGGGGAAATTTATATTATCTCTGATAAATGCCTTCTCAAGGCCAATAATCATAATAGCTTTTCATCTGTTTTCCTAATTTTTTTAAATATATTTTTTATATGCTCTTCTGATATAATTCAACACCACCAACTTGAAGAGTCCCAGTCCCCCCCCCCCCCTAAATCTACTGAGCATTTCGCTCCACTCTTCTTTTTTTCCCATTACCAACAACTTTGTGAACCGCTGTTCTAGATATTTAAAGGTAATGTTTATTTTAATTTGAAATTCATCTTTTTATTTTAATGACTGGTACCGGTAAACTGCATTAGAAAAAATAAATAAATGTGGAAGAGAAGGAGGAGAATAAAAAAAAAAATCTTGAATTATTTTCATGGTCAGGCAGAGAGATAGTGACATGAGTTCAGATTTTTCTTTTTTTTTCAGATAAATTCAGTATCTTTTCACAAGGGTCATATTTATATTATTTTTTTGGTACTCATTCCCCAGATCAGATCTGATGAAAGCTCTGAAGCTAGAACCCAAGAACAAGGTTGTTGCATCATTTCTCCAGGAATGCTTATAACATAGTAGAAGACTGTATTGTCAACATTGTTTTAAAAAAAACTTTTTTTGGAGTCCAAAGTAGGGAATATTTGAGAGTAATATTAAGCATAACAACAACCCAGTTGCTTTAAATGAATTAAAGCCTAAACCTAAGTCAGCAAACATTTACATTACCTCTTAATTTTAATAAATCAATGATTTTGGAACCATAGAAATAGAAAAATTGATTTCCCACAAATGAAGCCTGAACATAATTACTGGCAGAGTAGTTGATAATGTAAATTGTTCAAAGGGTCCTAAGACATTTAAATTGAGGAGTGGCATAACTAGACATCTTTCTAGAGGCCTATTCCCACACAAACCACATGAAGATGATCAAATAATTATGTCATGAAATCTTCATTTGTGTGCATTTCCAGGCTTTTGTGGCAAGATATTTACAATTGTGAATCTGATTGTATTTCCAGATGTTGGCACTGAGCTTGTCAACAGAAGAAATATCGTTGTGACATCTGTGTAGATTAATAGCAAGTTAATGTAGCAAGCTGAAGGGGGAGTAATCAATATCAACGGCCTTGATCATTTACTTATTCTTCTTCATCTTCTTCATGTCCCTTAGTCCTTGGACCGTTGGGTCGCCACAGATGACATATGAACCATCCTCCTCCATTCCTTGGAGCCTTCTTCTGAGACTATTGCTCCTAGGTATTTGAAGCGGCCTACAGTCTCTAGTCTTTCCTCCCCGACCTTAATTTCAGTGGTGATGCCTGCGGTATTATTTGTCATCAGTTTTGTCTTTTCAGCACTGATTAGCATGCCGTAGGACGACGAGGTCTTATCGAGACACTTTACCAGGTTGGCTAGCTCTTCTTTGTTCCCAGCCAGTCCGTCTATGTTCCCCGCAAAGCGTAGGTTGGTTATTGTTCTGCCACCAATGCTGACTGTCCCTTCATGCGCTTCCACAGCATCTGACATAATTCTCTCTAGGAAGATGTTGAACAGGGTGGGGGAGAGCAGGCAGCCTTGTAGTACTCCAACCGTGGTCTTGAACCATTCTCCGATGTTGTTGTTGAGGAAGACTGCACTGGTGGCCTTATCATAGAGGTTGTATATCATGCTGGTTAGGTTTGTGTAGATTTTGTAGTGCCTCATAGTGGTCCGTAAAGCAGCATGCCAAACCCTGTCAAATGCTTTCTTGAAGTCAACAAAGTCGTGGTATAGGTTTTGTTGGTGTTGAGCATATTTCTCACATAGTATTCATTTACTTAGTAGAACATAAAAAATGTCTTCTTGAACTTTAAATATTGTAGAGCTTATTAATGCTATGTGACAATGCTTTTTATTTGCATTACCCAATATATGACACTTAGAGGGAAAAAAATAATAAACATTTATTCTGAATTTAGTATGAAATTGAGTTTCTATCGTTTTTTTACTTACTTTCCTGTTAGCTAATAGTGTCAATTTCTGTCACACTTTCCTTTACATCATTCTAACCAGACACACCTCTTCCTATGTTACAATGTATAAATGATGAAGTAAGGTCAGGAGGTAATTGTAACCACAACAACTTTTATTTAAAAAGAAAACAATGATATCATATAATGTTCTAGTGATAAGTTTCATGAAAAATTCACATTTTCACAAAAATAACAAATAGTAAATGGCTATCAAACTCTTAACATTATAATATACTAATTTCTTCAAATTATAAACAAAACCTAATGTTGAAATATCAACAAAAGGGTTTTTTGTGCTTTGGAATAAGAAAAAAAGAAAGTGAGGGAGGCAGATTCTTATTGCAACACTTATTTAGAAACTCAAAAAATAAAAATATTTAAAGTGAAAATGAGCGACCCAAACTGAATCATATTTCTATGCAGTTAGTAAGGTTGATTAGAATTTATCTGTAACATGATCAGTCATATAAATAAAATAAAGCTCTATTCTGATGATCATTTACATTTTTTAAGTGTTACCTTTCTAAAATAGAAAAATCCTTGACACCTCCATCTGTTTGTGCATTCATTTTGTGTTCCCTGGCACAAATTACTTTTTTTATTTTACATTGCTGTGATCTCTTCAGAGTCACTTTCAAGTACAAAAATATAATTATAATGCAGGTCAATAGTATTATGAAATACGGTATAACATGCTACAATATTCTGGTAATTCATTTTTTCTTAAAGAAAGCCATCAGGGAAGTCTGTTTGCCTTTTTGCGGTGAGACTGCTGCTTTCTTGGATGGCTGAAAACCAAAGGCAACCGTGTTTCAACTTTTATTAAAACTTATTTAAGCATTGAATTAATCGAATATTAATTTTTGTAATTGTCTTGTTTCCATGCCACTCATCAATCTGATTGTTTTACTACAGTTTTAATAATAACTTTATACTTTTTTCAAAAGAAAAATACATACTGCTTTTCCTTTGGGTTCTGCTTTCTGAGCAACTGAATTTTTCTTTGTGGGTGCTATCACAGGTTTTTGTTCCTGAACTTCCATAACTTCGTCATCGGACTCACTCTCCCATTCAGTGACTTTTGTGGTCACTTATTTTTATTTGATAAGAGAGATGAGAAAAGGGCCAGTTTTATTTTATGTCTTTTGTTTCTACTGAATGGGTAAAATATGGATGCAAAGTGTGAGAGTCAATACAGAGAATTTAAAACAATTTCTGGATAGGATTAAAATGAGTTTTTTTGTTTCTTTTTTTATAAATGATTTTTGATTGAGTGAACATGGCGCACTTCTATATAAACCACTAGGAATATTATATCAGAATCACATTTAAATTTATCCATGTAACATAAACAAGAGTTAAAGTGTTTATTTCAAAAATATATATTTTGATAACATAATGTAAGACTACACTGCAAATAACTAGACACCTGGTATACTAGTCAAATGAAATGCAATCTATTAAGAAATCGACCATTATTTGCACTCTCATGCCTATGTAGATTTAAGCAGATCCATTACTTTGAAATGGATCTTGTATATGTCAATCCAGATGTGTGTACCGGTATCTGTATACTTACAAGTGAACTTATTATGTTTTGGTTTACATACCAATGAACCCATCCTCATCCACAAAAGTTTTTGAAGCAACTTTTTGGGTCCTCTTTCTTTTCCTGCACCCGCCCGCGTTTGCGCTATTTGTTGTTATGTTTTCCTTTTCCTTGACATCCTCAGTGACAACGCTTTCCTTGACTTGCTTTTCCTCATCTCCCTTCTCCCCCATTGTATCTTCCTCATCACTGGCATCACCTGCCGCCACAGGACTCATTTCCATCTCCTCTTCAACATCAGATACTGAAAGTAGCCATAACAAATAAAATTTCAACAAAACATATTTTGAACTATAAAATGTTCAGTATAATTATAATTTCTTGAATAAAAATATTTATTGTCAATGATGACAAGTGTTAATTTACCAACTTATTTACACATATTTTTTTGTTTGTCGAGTGTCTACAGCTATCTAAGTTGGTATAAATAGCTACAAACATCTTTAGTTTCCAAATGAGTGGGGAAAAAAATCAATTTTCTGTTAGCCCAAATTTTAAATAAAACTCTTAATAAATTTTGTGACTTAAAATAAAATATACTTTATTTTTATATTTATGATCCGTATAATTCAATGCAATAGAACATTGCTGTTCATATTATGCTATTACCATATTCTTCTTCATCACTAGAATCAAATAAATCTGTCCTGATTCGACGCCTGTGTTTTCTTTCTAAAATTTCTTCATCTTCATCACCTGGATTAGCAGGAAATTTTAAAAAATTAAATAATTTATTAAACCAGGCATGTCATTTATTTATCTACAAATGTCTTGAAAACCAATTGTGTATTAAATTGTAATTACTTATTTGGAGATGCTTAATGACTTAATACTAAATAAAATATTTCAATAACACTGCTGACAAACAAACATCACTTGTGAGACGGATAAAAGAAAAAGGCTGAGGATGAAAAATTTTATCTTTTTACCTGAGTCTTTTGTTCTTTTTTTCATGTTTTTCCTATAACAATGAAAAATAAATAAGTTAAAAACAGATGTCCGTCTTGAGTACTGTAGACCTAAATGATAAACAGATGTCATGTTGAGTACTGTTGTCCTAAGTGATAAACAGATGTCATGATGATTACTATAGACCTAAATGACAAACATGTCATGTTGAGTACTGTAAACCTAAATGATAAACAGATTTCATGTTGAGCACTGTAGACCTAAATGATAAACAGATGTCATGATGAGTACTGTAGACCTAAGTGATAAACAGATGTCATGATGACTACTGTAGTCCTAAGTTATACATGTTAATGACAGAATCAACACAGTGATGTTTAAAAGTTTGAAGATATTTGAAAACATTTTTTTTTAAATACCTGAGTAGCTTAAACAATTATTAACAGTATAATCTGGTAAATGTTGGTTTTTCCAAGTAATTAACAACATAAAAATTCTCACTTATATTGATATTATGTTGAAAAACTACATTAGCACAATTTCTCTTAATTTTAGCCAAAGAAAGGTAAACACTATTGCCACATTAAAATGTAAAAGAATGATGAATAAAGAAAAGATGAGCGTCTTTCTTCAAATTTTTACTCACTTTTCCTTGGTCTGTGATGTTTTTGGTGGATTCGATTTAGTGGAGGATGTATTTGATTTCGTGGCAGATGCCTTTGAACGTTCTTTTTCACTGGCTTTTTCTTTATTGGTTTCAGCATTTTCAGCATTCTTTACTTCCTGTTTGCTGAACAGTGAAAGGACACCACCCTTCTTCTCAGTAGGCTTTGACTATAGGAAAAAAAGGAAATGTTTTAGATTCTTTATTTCAAAATATATATATATTCTACACAGTTGTTTTATGTGACCGAGAAAAAATTACTACTATTGTCTTAAAGTATAAGGACATAAGGTTACAAGGAACAGTATAGAAAAGCTTGTAAAAAAAAAAAAATCAACAAGGCCATGAATGTAACAGAAATAAAGCCACTGTCAGCAAACAAAAAGCAAAATGTAAAGAGCAAATACAAAAAACCGTAGCTTACAGTATGTTGGAAGAAGAAGCAGCTTACTCCAAGAGGTACCAGTAACGAAGAAATAAAAAACAGACCAAGAGTTTTGGTATAGCTAAATAGGAAGTAGTAGTAGATTGGGATGGTTTTATAAGTACATTTCTAAATGGAGTTATGCCCCTTAGCTTAGGCTTATCAGAGGATTTACCTCAAAAGCAGGTTAGATAAGACTGAGTTTAAAAAAAATATTTTTGTATATAAACTATATATAAATCTGCTAGTCAAAAATCAGGACACAAGTCAAGTAGATGGGACATTTAACACCTTGCTCCTTGTGACCAGTTTTGCATTGTGTTCTTCAACCACAGTTATGAGAAGATTGAAGACACTTAACAAATTATACACCTTGCTTAAATCACAACACCAATTTACCTTTACTTTGGCCTTAGTTGATGGTTCTGTCGGCTCATTCACTTTAGCAGAGACAGGTGAGGTTTTCTCATCCCCCTTGTCTTTCTTTCCAGCAGAGGCGAACATGTTTGCAATGCTGCCCTTCGGTTCAGCCTTTTTACTGACCCCTTTAGCAGAGCTGCTGGTTGCTGATTTACTAGAGATGACTGCCATTTGCTCATCTTTCTCAAACTACAAGACAAGAAATCAATGAGAAATAAAAACCAAATTCCAGAAATATGCAAATGTTATGTTAGTACTTTGTTTTTATCCTTACAAATTATCTAACAACTCAAAAGCTTGTTGGGCTGGTCTAAAGCAAATAATAGGATATACTCCTAAGCGTGAATGCTTGTGTATTGAGGACGTGAAGAATTTTGTTAACGACTTAAATGACTTTTATTGTCGTTTTGACTGTCTGGACTTTGGAAAGCTACACAATGAGATGATGAATTGATTTAAAGATGGCAGTAGTACACAGGATGGTACTTCATTGTTCACCAAACAGGAAGTGATGTCATTATTTAAACAAGTGGACGCAGCCAAGGCCTCGGGGCCAGACAAATTAAGTGGTCGGCTCGTTAAGCTATGCTCAGAGCAGCTCTCCTATATTTTTTGTTACATATTTAATAAATCTTATGTAACTCACACAATACCAACAATTGGGAAAATTCAGAAATCATAACAATTCCAAAGAAAAATAACTTACGCTAACGACTAACGACCTGTTGCACTTACCTATATTGTAATGAAATGTTTTGAGAAGATTTTTTAAAAAAGAAATTTTGAATGAAGTACAGCAAAAATTTGACCCCCACCAATTTGCTAACAAACCTGCCAGAAGTACGGAGGATGCAATCTTACTGTTGTTGAAAAGACTTTACCATCATCTAAGACAGTCCTAAAACAAATCCCAGAGTGCTTTTCTTAGACTTCTCATCAGCATTTAACACTATCCAACCACACCTTATGATAAAGAAACTTTAGGTTTCTTTAGGTGTCAATGTAAATATTCAGGCTTGGATACTGAACTTTTTAACAAATCGACCACAATATTTCAAAGTAAATAACCTATTATCTCTAACCAGAGATATAAGCACTGGGGCACCACAAGGCTGTGTTCTCTCCCCTGTACTGTATACAATATATACCAATGATATACAAAGCTCAAGCGACACCGTTCCTATCTTAAAATTTGCTGATGATACCACCATCGTTGGCTTTATATCTGAAGGAGAAGGCCTATACCGCAACTTAGTTACAAGCTTTATCAATTGGTGCGATGAAAATTTTCTCCAGCTGAGTGTCTCAAAAACAAAGGAAATGGTTTTTGATTTCAGGAGGGTGAAACACCAGCTTACAGATCTCAACATAAAAAATCAAAGTGTAGAGAAAGCAGAGGCATGTAATTACTTAGGTGTCACCATTAATAATAAGCTAACATGGAATGAGCATGGCCAAATGCTGTACCGGTATAAGAAATTCAAACAAAGACTGTTCTACCTCAAAAAAACTGTACAATTTCGGCGTAAACAAGCAAGTCGTTAACTTATTCTACAGTGCAACAATTGGAAGCCTACTTAATTTCAGTATTACCTGCTGGTGTGGGAATTCAACGTCTGATATTAAACACCACATAAACAGATTAATCAAGAAAGCTAGGAACATAACTTAAACTACTAAACATCCTTCACTTGAAGAACTATTTGAAGAAAGATGTTATTGTAAAACTAAACATATTTTGGATGATACATCCCACCCTCTTCATCACAGATACTTAGGATCGGGCCGTTCGGGATGAATTCTTTCCATCAGGGTGAGGAATGAAAGATATAAAAATTCCTTTGTTCCCCAATCTGTACGAATTTACCAGCGTGCTCCCTCTGAAGTCACACATCTTAATGAGAACTAAGAAGTCCCTGATTTGGCTAATCGAACTCACTGAATGGCTGTTTGAAATAGTTTAAATTCAAATTGTTTTATTTATGTGCTGAAACTGGGCAATGCAATCATAAAATATTTCCATTTGTTTGGATCAATAAAAGAATCTTATCTTATATTAAATGTTCCCACTAGTGCTTTGTTTTCACAGCATGAGAATCAAGGGCTATGGGTACCAAGTTTAAGAAACAGGATCAACAAGTTTCCTGATGTTGTGTTTAATTTTTTGTTTAGTTTCAACTTTAAAAAGTGACTTTTTATTTCCAAAAAAAATCTGAATGAGATTTTTTTTACATGAAATTTTGAAAAAGTAAATACCGGTACATCAGTAAATTAATCTCTACCCAGAGTTTATTTCATGAAGTTTTACTAATATAGCCTCATTACCTAACAGATAATTTTAAAGCAAAGCAAATTAACAGTTTAACTTTTATATAAATTTTACTGATTGCTGCTTGAAGATAAAGTTCAGATAGGCTTTCAAATTATATTTGCTGTAGATAGGTTACTTTTATTTAGTGACATTGGTTGGAATAATTAACTTGTCTCCACAAATGAGGTCAAACTATTGTTACCTTAATCTCGGAAGACGACCCTTCAGACTTCACTGAGGGTTTAGATTGCTGCCTAAGAGTAGCCCTTGGACATTTGATACTGCTGAGTCTAAAGAAATGTATGCATTAAAAGTTTGGTTATAACACAGTTCTCATCATCAGTGTTAAGTTGAAATTATCAAAATATTTATTTCATCAAAATTTGATAGTGCTTTACTTAAATGTGAGCAGTGGGAGAATTTAGGTCCCATAGGTTCATGTAATATTAGTAGAATATAGGTCCCATAGGTTCATGTAATATGTTCACTCTGTCAGTGTAATGAAAAGATAGGAAGGAAAAGATTGAAGTCCAAATAAAATCTTAGTTCAGCCTTAGGGGTGTGCCGGCACACCCCTATTCAGCCTACTTACAGTTGACATTTTTCTAAATTGTTCTTGATGATGTCATAATCTGTCAAGTACAGGGACGTGTAATCCTGAAATAGAAGGTTCCTTATATGTAAAATTCTTTATAAAAATGTGTTCCATAATCAGGTAAGTGTCTATGTCCTTGTTAGAAAATGTTTGATGGTTAAAATCACAACCCGCCAGTGCAACACATCTTACGCATCTTACATCTTGTATCAGGTTACCATCTTGTTTAAAAGTCTATGAATATTTTGTATATTTTTCAGCATCCTTTCTTTTAAGTGAAATGAGTCGTGAAATATGAAAATAATTTACCTTCAGTTTGGCCCTCTGCACACTGTATATGTGACAGCTTGTAACAATGGACAATGAATTCTTTACTTCTTCCAGATGAGCCTCTGGCACCACAACACATTTGTGCATCTGAAAATTAACACTTGACTTTTTTGACTTCTTTTAACCTATTTAATCAAGTTTAAAATAATAACCCTATCAAAACAGCAGCATTATTTTTTTTAACAAACCATCTAAGATTTTTTTTTAAAGTCACATGGTAAGTGAATTAAAAATGTAATTCAAGAATGTATCCACAATTTGGGATGATTTTCCATTGAATAAAATAAAATAAATACACACAAAAAGAAATATAACTGGGAAATAATACTTGCTAATGGATAACCAATACATTAATACTAATGTATTTACTATAATTTAAATTTAGGGAGAACAATGTTTTAGGGGAGATCATCTATTACAGTGGTTCTCAACCTTCGTAATGCCGCGACCCTTTAAAAGGGCTCCTAATGTTGTGGCGACCCCCAACCACAAATTATTTTCGTTTCTTCTTCATAACTGTAGAGCTTTGTGTTTTCAGTTGGTCTTACGCGACCCCTGGAAAAGGATCATGCGACTCCTAAAGGGGTTGCGACCCACAGGTTGAGAAACGCAGATTTATTAAGAAGACTGGTTTAAAAAAATTAAATTAAAAGACACAAAATAATTTCTTACAGGTTCCCCATCTTTGGACTTGCCAAGTCCAGCAATAAAATAAGTTACGTTAAATAAACCATCAGCTGGCTTGTTTCGATGATGCTTGACAAATGTGTTCAAAGCCCTGCAAAACATAAAAGGTGAGAGGAGTGGGTGGATAATTTTTAAGTTTATATTTCTAAATCCAGAGAGGTAAAAATTTGTTCATTTAATTACTGTGTGAAGGCTTAACAAATGTATAAATTCTTTTTTTTTAAAATGCTTATTAAACTAATGGCCATTTCATAAATTACTTGTATCAAATAAACACAAATCAAGCACACTCAAATTAACCCTGGGTAACAGTAAAATTTAAAAATGTGCCATTTCTATTACTGTGTGAATTGTAAAGCTAGTGTATCTAACACTAACCTATGTCAGATGTAATATTTGCAGTCTTTCATTATAAGATATATCATGATTTTTTTAACAACTGTGTAGAATGGAGGAATTCTCTTTGATAACACTGTTATAAAATACTTAGCTTTTAAGTAGTTCTGCGCCTGATATTCCCACACATCAACGATACCTCTCTAAAAGATAATGTAATAATCTATAATAACCATTCAAATAGGGCAATTCTAGATGTACAATCAGATTATTGCACTTACCTTTTTGCATCATTTATATTTAAATTCAGCATCAGACTTAACCAGCGGCATGTTACCTACCAATAGAAACAATGTAATAAATTACTAATTTCACCATCCAATGTAAGATAATCATAAATAAACACATAAAAAATTGTCAAATTCATTATTGGTTTGCCATATTCATTTTTTATCCGTTGTGCCCCATTTAGACAATGATCTGAATAATTTTGAGCTATTCTATATTTATTATCTCCCCTCTTTGGACCATAGGATCAAGAAAATGCAAGAATATTAACTTTTCAATAATTATTTCATCAACATCAATGTTGGCGCTACAGCCAACAGAATGCTCTGGCATGCTCCATCATGTCCACAGCGTTCTATACAGACATATCTACGGCTTTTGTCTCAATAAGAGTGCACCAACTTATGCAAATCTCCCTCACTTCAAATTAGAACTCGAAACCCCTTTTTCTCCTTATAATTTGGCATCATTTAGAATTAAAGATATCCTGTCCAATGCAGCCTGTCTTTTTTTAATGATGGGACTTTGGTTGGGTCTGCATACAATAGGTTTATTTTTTTTATTGCTCTGAATTCTTCTATAATTATTTCGTAACTAGGGCTTAACCAGGTGTAGTTCTTTTACACCAGGTCCAAGTATTTTGAGAAAATACCTGTTTGGTCCAAGTCCAAGTGTAACAAAAAAGGTTTTAAAATTCTCATTTTCTGTAATCAACAAAATCTACTGCACTAGGTTGTAGTGAGAGTGCACTGCTTTTGTCAATGGTTTGTGTCAAGAAATAACCCACTGATAAGTACAGGCAGTTGCCGGATCCTGGAATAGAGATGCCGTATAAAAACCTGCCGCCAGAGAAGATACTACTGTCATTCATTTTATAACAAATACTAACAGTTGAAGTATTACGAAAATAGCAATAACTTCCTGTACCAGGCTACAGAAAAGACTCACAGGTGCACACATGCCTGAAGTGCAAGAATGGCCCATGACCCAGTTCTGAGTGGCGTGCAGCCCCAGAACAAAGATGTGAAAAAATATTGATAAAGTTCCTTTATTAAGAAAAAAATCAATCTATTTACTGGCGTTCAGACATTAGGCCTGAAGCTCACTGAGTGACATTAGTGACAATGGAACATGAACAATAGCAACACTGAATAATAGTGGCCTCCCCTTAAAGAAAAAAAATCAACCTATTTACCAGAGTTCAGACGTCACGCATGAAGCTTCCTGCATGACAACCTTTTTTCATGATCAGTATTATTATAATTAAATTATATTAATATAAAACAGTTGGAGTTGAGTCCATTCAATTATCATTGATTTGATACCAAATTTTGTCTTACAAACCCAACAATAATATTTTTAATAATTTTCAATCCCAACCTCTCACTTCTGATTCCCGGTATGGTAAAATTATATTTTTTAAAATTTATTACCGATTTAACTGATTAGTAATAATAATAATAGTATAGACATAGATATATATAAGTGTTTTCAGTGTTAGTGTTAACTGTTGTATACTGTTGAGTGTTGTCTGTCTCAGTGTTGTCAGTGACTCAGTGTAATGTCATTGTCAGTCACAAACTCACTGTCACTGTTCTTCATTGATAGTCATTGTCATTTATTAATGATTAATATTAATGTTTTTTAACTTATTTATTTGTTGGTATTAATAAATAATATGATTGGGGGGTGGGGGGAATGTATTTCAGAAAATGGGTGTAAATTTGCATTAATTATTCTATTCTTAACGATTAACACTACAATAAAGTACAATTTTATTGTCGTCGTTAATGTATTCCTCAATGTTTTCTTGGATTAATGTATCCTCTGAATTTGTCGCCATTTTCTTATTTTATTGTTAATGTTTTTATACTTTCGTTTCGCGCTATGTCAATAAAAAAGCTTGATGAGGTAAAAAGCTAGAGTTTATTTAATGTTTTATATTTAAAAGTAAAAGTTTATAAAAATACATTATTTGATGGTAAATATATGCTTATATTTTAACAGCGTACATAAATTACAGAATTTTTTGTAGGTTAAAAACTATAAATAAATTTAGTAAAAATTGTTTGTTTAGGAACTATTCCGTTTATAAACTTAGAAACAGCCAAGAACGATAAGCACTTATAATTTTGGATTTTATTACTTCACAACACTATCATTACAGCTTTATTAGACCAGACCTACATTAAGAAATTGAAATAGTGTTTACCAAAAGATTGACAGAAAATGTCCTCTGATGATGGTGTAATCGGGACAAATGATGATGCCGCATCATGCAAGCGATATGCAGTGGATAAGGGTTATTGGAACGATCCATATATTTCTTACATGGTACCAAAATCTTCATCAAGAAAAGCCCCAGAAATCAGCCGTGGTTACTACGCAAGAGTAACTTCAATTCAATTACTTGTGGAAAAGTTTCTTAGGGTTTGTCTGTCTGTTTAGTTAGCTAAAAAATTTAATTGTTACATTATGAAATTAAAGAATAATTTACTCATTTATTTGCATGCAATTTGTGGCAGTGGGCCATTATTAGTTATTATTATTAGATTAGGTTTAGGTCAGTGATTGGTAGTGCAAGCTGCTCCCTAAGTTCCAATTCTAAGCATATAAAATATATTGCTCATTGGTTAGAGCGTAAAGCTTATGTCAAGTTTTTGTACAATTAAAAGTTCTAATTCTATTTTTGAGCTTAATTAAATGCATACTCCTACAGCTAAAGGAAGACATTAGTGAAAGTGGAATGAGTGATTGAAGTTAATTTTTTTAAAATCTTATCCTGATCAATTAGGCAAATTAAATACTGTATCATTTATTTTTTTCTGATTGAAAAAAGGTGTGGTATAAAAACAATAAAACATTATTTGCATATATCTGTATACATTTGAGCAATTTTTAATTGTATTTATTTGTATCATTCCAGCTTACAGAATGTAGGTGTCAAATAGTCAATCTTGGTGCTGGTTTTGATACTATGTATTGGAGGTTAAGCAATGCTGGTCTTGTTCCGAAAGGTTTTGTAGAAGTTGACTTTGAACAGGTCACTTCAAGGAAATGTCATTTCATCAAGTCCAAGCAGCAATTATTGGAAGCCCTGTCTGGTGAAGGTAAATTATTGTTCATGTTTTAGGCAGTTATTGCTGTCTATACTATGTGTCATTTTTTATTTTTGTAGTGGCATACTTTAGAATAAAGTTTACTGGCATTACTTTGACAACATACATACAGGATAATTTTTTTCATTCTGTTTTAAGACAGTGGTGCTTAATATTTATCACTAAATATATATATTTCATAAATATATATTTAGTGATATTAGAAATTCACCATGCAAATAGCCCATTTTACATTATTATTGTGCACTCAGTTTTACAACAAGTGCATAATTAATTTAAGCAACTTAATTATTAAACATTTTGCTTGAATACAGATAGTGAAATCATGATGAATAAAGCAGAACTTCATTCAGCCAACTATCACCTAGTATCTGCAAACCTACGAAATATTGGTAGCTTTGAAGCCAAGCTATCAGCATCAGGCATTGATCGATCTCTCCCTACACTGTTTTTGTCTGAGTGTGTTCTTGTGTACATTGAAGCTGACTCTACAGAAAAGTTGATAAAATGGATAGCTGACAGCTTTCCAACAGCATTTTTTATAAACTACGAACAGGTGTGGTTTTGGGTAATTATTTTAATCAATAACTAATATAAAGGTGCTTATTTTTTCATTGTTACATGTTAAATTCCAGATTACAATTCAGATTATTTAGATTCCTATCATTGTTACATTCAGTTAAACTCTTTCCGTGCCAAGCCATGATATATAGTTGATTTGACTGGTCACGTTTGTGCAAAGCCATGATATATCGTCAAAATAATTTACTTTGTTTTATTTCGTTGCCTGCGGCTATCAATTTGACTTTTTATGTTCTTAAACAAAATAAAACTCTTTATACTTCCTTCCTGTAAAAAGTAGGGCTTGTTTACATGTGTTTTTTCTAATAATAGTTTGATTTGTGTCAAAACTTCTGTAAAAGCAATGGCAAGGCCCACTCCAAACACATCAGGTGTTACCAGACCACCTAGGTTGTCAAGTTGACAGGCACAAGAGCTTTTATTGGAAATTATTGATGCTTAAACATGGGAAAATAACAATTAATCATTTCAATTTGATTCAAGTGATGATTTTTAGCTTTCTGATGGGTCAGTAAATGCTCAATGGAAATAAAGGAGATGATAGTAATAGTAGTTGTGACAGTTGGCACTTTCGTAAAAATTTCAATACATTTTTTTAAATATTAAAACATCACAATGTATAGAGCCTAGAGAATGGATTACAAAAACACCAAGATCAACTTTCTAGCTTAAGTGCTTCAAAAGTTATGTGGTTTTTTTCAAAACCATTTTGTTACTATGGCAACAGTGGAGATTCAGACAATACTACTCCTAACGTTACAAAAATGTGTTTAACTCTGTCACTAAAGGGAATATTTTCAAAATATAAAATGCATTCTGATCCAAAATGGATATACTTTATGAGGATTGAAGCAGATTAGGATACCAGCTATACAGACGATATGGTAGTCTTGTAAGTTCAGATTAATGCACATATTATTTAAAAATGTTTAATTTGATCTCAGAATATTACTAGTAAAATTTAAACTTTTGTTGTCATATTGTTTTATCTGTTCCATATTATTATTCTATGTCTAATTTCCTTTAATTTCATATGAAATACAGCTATCTTGCTAAAAGAAATGTATTGAAAATTAATTAGTAGATAAGATCACCCTAAAAACTGTCCATTGGCCGAAAACTGGTCTGGCACAAACGTGGAGAAGCCCCCTGGCATGGACAGAGTTAAAGCTAAAAATGACTTAATTTATTTTTGTGTAACTTGATATTTATAGTTGCAAAGATTTTAAGAATATCAGAATATCACTTGTTTTATCTGCTTGTTATTTCCTTTTTAAATAAATCAGATTAATATGTTAAAGGGGACATTTTTCTTAAAAAGGCTTTTTAAACAAAAAAATTCTGTCAAGCATGAGAAATGTTGTACCAATGGAAATATGAAATTTTAAAATTACAATTGGCTATATCAATCACTAGCAAAGATGTTATGTTAAAATTAACATTTTGAAATTTTATTTAGGTTAACATGGCAGATGCCTTTGGTCATGTAATGATTGAAAATCTAAAAGCCCGGGACTGTGTTTTAAGTGGAGCCTCAGCTTGTACAAGTTTGACTACACAGATGAACAGGTGAGACTTGGACCAGGAATATTGGATGGCATATTATTGTACATACAAAAAAAATTCTTAACTTTAAATTTTAAAAGCAACATGAACCTTCCTCCCCATGAATTAAATGGGCTCAATTGATCATTGACCAATGCAAAAGAAACGCTTGATGAATTCTGAATTGCTGAGAATCTTTGGCATGAAACATGAAATTAGAACTAATGAATGAAAAACAATTTAGGAAGGATATATTTTTTTGAAGCTCATAATCATGAAATAAGTTTGGTATATACATCTTATGTCTCTAATTGCAGGTTGGAAGAAGATGTGTTTGTTTTTATTTTTTAAGAAAATTTGACAAATGTATTTTATACTTCACCAAGTCTTGATTTGGGCAATTTTATTCTATTTCAGGTTTCTCAACAATGGCTGGAGTGGTGGTGATGCCTTAGATATGTCTGCAGTGTACAGATATCTACCACAGGAAGATTTGCAAAGGTTGGGGAACTACTAGCCTATCAAATTACTGGCTAAAAATCCTTATAAAGTTTTTGATCAATTGTAGTAAAACTTAGTGCATAAAATATTGGTCTTTGAGGGATGAGCTTTGTTTCACTAAAGCTTCATCCAATTAAAGATTTTAAAGTAGTGATAGTAAAGGCTATGTATTTAGCCAAAAAAAAATTTGTAAGCTGATATATTTATGTCTTATTATACTATCAATTTTTGTCTTAGCATTGATTCTCTTCGTTTTGAAAGGCATATTTTTTATTTTAAAAGGGATAATTTTTGTTTTAAAAGGTATGTTTTTTGTTTTTAAAAGCATATTTATATATATTTAAATCAATATCCACTTGCATCTGCAGAATAGAAAGGCTCGAGTTACTTGATGAAAGAGAGCTACTAGAACAGCTGTTGTCCCACTACTGTCTAGTATGGGCCTACAAGGATACAAGCAATCTAGGACTCCACGCCATCAGCTTGTCATGACCTTTGAAATAGCAACCAGATATTGTAAGCATAAAATGTACCTTCTCTCACAAAGAAATACTGAAATGGCAATAGAAGGAACTTAAAATCCCACCAACACCCATTGCCAGCAGACAAAGTATCTGGAGAAAGTTTGTAAACCACATCCGGCTTGTGTACTGAACACAACAGCTCAACAGCTGGAACCTTTCGTCAAGAGGTGTATGGTGTCCATTATGAAGCAAGGTATTTTGAGAGTGAAAATTTGTTCTTTTTTTTTTTAAGTTGCATTATGCAAGCACCTCATTTTTCATGTTAGTGTTGTGAATTTTTTTTTCACTGGATTTGGAATAGCTGCAATGAAAGTTGTAAGTGGAGATTGATAATTGTGATAGCATCAGGAAACTGTAAATCATGTTTGTTGAGAAGATTTATGACTGGTGATTTTTAGACAGCCCTTGATTTTGACTGGATCAGCATTTGTGCTTTAAAAAAAAATGGATTAACCAGTTTAGTAAATGACAAAAGCTCATTGCTAAATGCTCTATCAGTACTATACTCTAAATAAAAGAACAGAAAGACCTCTAATTATACTCTTGAACATTATTTCAAAATAGTACAGTACTGGTACATATTTTTATGTATTCACAATTTGATTCTCAGTTAAATATTCAAATATGTAAGAAAATATAGCTTAGCTCAATTTCTATTTAAACCCTTTTTTCTTAGTTTTAAAAACAAAATTAACTTTTGATCATTGGTTGCTTTGTATATTTTAAATCTCAATATTTATTTTATTGGAATTTTATTTTTTAGGTTGTTTTTTTTATTACAAATTTAAGACATGTTTTTTTTACCTCCAGAAATAAACTTCACTTCAACATTTGCAGATGAATTTTTGCATTGCTTAGATTTTATACTCATTACAATCATTATATTTATTTAACTTCCACCCATTTAATTCAGAGTTTCAGTCTTTAAAAAAAATTTGACGCACCAAGAGGATAATCATAGTTTTAATTGTCATATTGTAATTACTATTATGTTTTCAATCATGCTTTTTATTTTTAGTCCTTTAATGAAACTCGAATCAGAAGAAAAGCATTTACTAGAAATGACACCATGCCTTGATTTTATGGCTGATTATTTCAATGAAATTTATAAAACTTTTCGGAGTGTCCAGTGTGAAGACAAATGTGAGAACATTGATCTGTTCTGGTTACTGCAAAGGATAAAAATAAACACCTCCTTGAATCTTGTCAGTTTCTCCAATGGGAAAAGTATGAAGCAGCTGGCCTTTAAAGAATATGGGTCTTTGCCCTTTCTTATGTCCAAAAAGTATCCAACCACTTGCTTTAATCTAATGATATTTCAATTAGCTTTTGAATTACCAAGAGTATTTGTAACATTGGGTTTAAGATCTAATTAGAGTCCTTCTCTCTCCTCTTATGTCAGTGGTGTTGATCATTTCAAGTGCACCATTGTTTGAGATACCGGTACCATACTTAAAATAAAACCAACAATTTTTTTTAACCAATGCTAATTCTCATTTGAACTATCTGGTATTGGTTTTGACACTTGGTTTACAGGGCCACAAAAAAACTGGTTAGCACAGCCTGTCCCAATTTCCTTATTTAATCATTCCTAAATTAAAATGATGTAAAATATTCACTTACCAGTTAGAAAGATGTCAGTCAATTTTAATATATTATTAAACCCTTCAATCAAAATCAGATGGCCATTGAATGGATGTTGTATTTTTTTTTTATTTAAATACTTTCAATAAAGTGTTTTGGTATGTCAGCTATCAGTATCAGCATTTTTTAAATTAATTTTTTTTTTTAAATATTCATTTTTTTAATGTATTTGATATTGTTGACTTTGGCAAAATTTCTCTTGGGGTAACATTTTAAAACATGGTCATTTACATTTTAAGACTCATTTACTTTCATGTTATGTTCTTCTACTACCATTGTGACATAAATTTTGTTTAGGTCAGTGGACTTGTTATATTAGAAAATAAAAACTTTTGTAAAATGGAACCACTGTACCGGTATTAAATGTTTAAGTTCAAGTATTATTAACTCAACCTTTACTCTTGTTTCTGGTAAATATGCATTGTTATTGCGTAAATGTAATGTACAAGTACATCAGAATTCTGTTATGTCAATCTGTCTTATTGTAAAAGTTTGAGTGAATCATAGCTTTTAAATATTATTTTTATAATTGTTTTAATTAGTACAAGTACTACAAGCCAGATCTTTATTTATTTGAAACCACAAGCATCATTTAGTGTGCATGAGTATCTAGAAAAAGAATGCCTGGGACTATTGATATTTTAGCTTATTGGCTGTTTTTTTCTTTTCTTATTCATGTAAACAGGATAAATATCTGATCACGAAAAAGATGAACAGTTTCATGAAATTCTTTTCTTGAAAATGATCCATTATCATTTTGAGTAATGGTAACTGAATGCATGTTTATTTATTTTTTTATTCAATGTGTCATTTACCTAATTTTCCTGTTGTGCCATTAATTATTGTTTTTTTAACTCAAAATGTTACTAATAAATAATAAACTCCAATCAAACAATGCTAATTAATTTTTGCCCGGTTTTTATGAAGCCGATGCCCTTTAAAGAATATGGGCCTCGGTTTTGATTGTTGTCTTACTTAATTCAGGTTATATTATATTTATCAAAGCTCTAGTGCAGCGGTTCTCAACCTGGGGGTCGCACGACCCCTTCCCAGGGGTCGCCTAAGATCATCTGAAAACACATATCCTTACAACTATGACACATATCCTTGCAACTATGATGTAGCAACGGAAATAATTGTGGCTAGGGGTCGCCACGACACGAGAAACTGTATTATAGGGTCGCGGCACTAGGAAGGTTGAGAACCACTGCTCTAGTGGCTCCTTGATTTATTCATGGCTATTGCATAGAGTTTGAAAGATTTATATTGCATAGTTTGCTCACGTTTGGTATCGGTAATTAAAGTTTTGTCTCAATATATTATTCAGTAGTCTTGCAAAAAATTTTTAACATTGAATAGTGGATATGGGGCATATAGTATTTCAACAATGTAATCCCAGTTTAAGAAGGTGACTCAACTTTCAGTGTCTATTCCTCATTATTCATAAAGGACCAGAATCAACCCAACTTAATGTGGTGATTTAATGCAATATTTATTTATTTGTTTAGGCATTTTTATATAGCGCTTACCTTAAAGCTCTAAGCGCTTTACAATTATTAAAAACATGTAAACTAAGTAAAATAAAAATGAAAAACCAGAGACACATAATTTCCCAGCCATTTCAGCTTATCCGTAGATTTGTTGAATTCTGTTCATCAATAATCAAATTTATTTAAAAACGTGTGTACAAAAATAAAATAATACTAATAAAATAATTTTTATTCAAAAGTTTATTTTCAAAAAACATTGTGGTAAAAATCTTGTCAGTATGCAAAAAAGGCAAACTTGGTAAATAATGAAAGAAATTGGTTTTCCTCATTGCTGAGCACATAAATGACAAATGCATTTAACAAAAGTGCATACTGATAGGGTTTATTAGTAACAAAACTTTCACACTTTTCTGCTTTCATTTGAATCTGTATTTCCTTAAACATTTAGTATTAAACAATTTTAATAATAAGTCACTCATTTAAAATTTGGAGTTGCATACTCCTTTTTCAACAATATGGAATAAAACTATCTATCTATTTCTCAGATTATTGGTTTCCATTAGAGAATAAATGTGCACCTATTTCTATAAATGACACAGAGGAACACATTAATCCAAAAAGTTATGAACAATGAAAGTAGATATCGCTGAGATTCACCCTGTGAGGTGCGGTTCATAGGTTTAAGGACCCTGGTAAGGAAGTATTTTATTACCTACTACTACTATGTGGGCCAATAAAAAAAAATTGGTTTAATATTGTTTTTCTAAAACTGAAAATCGGTTCGCCAAAGAAAATTATATTGGCATGCCTTATTAAAACAATTTTTTTTTAACATCTTGTTATGCAACATAACTGTGCCAGTAAGGTTTAACTAAGGTTTAAAATCTTGTAACACAGCATTAGATGCCAGCAAGGTTTAATATCTTGAAACACACATATGGGTGCCAGTAAGATTCAAGTAAGTTTTGACATCAAGTTTACTATTGATCTTACATAGCTCCATTGTAAACACAACATAAGACTGTCTGAAATTAATTCTCAGGACTGGATACATGCTCTTCATCCACAGTTTAATTTATGCTTACCATATAAACTTACTAGTACTAGTCTAGTCCAATCTAAATGGAACCATAAATAAAAGCTCTTAATTAAATTCAGTAAATAAATTAATGTAATTCAGCTGTCATTTTGTAAAGGCTGATGCATGAAATGATAAATAATTCAAAACAAAACCTGTATTAATTCAACACATGAACATTGCATAAATTTCAACAGTTTTTGTACCCATTATAAATAAAAATTAATCAATTATAAAAATGGCAATTTCAACTTGCACATCAAGCCTCTCCGCAATAAGTTGTGCAATATTATAAGACTGTTAGGTGACTGGTAAAAATAATTTTTTTCTGAAAGTAAGAACCATCAATGAAAGAAATTCTAACCCAAGTATCACATTGTTTCTTCATTTTAAGCGTGATTTGATGAATTATTTCTCTTTATATTTATAGTGTTAACCGGGTACTCAGACATTTTAACAAAATTTGAAATTTTACATTTTTTGGTGGTTTTTCAAATTTGAAAAATATCTAAGTTAATTTAGACACACTTTACATTACTTTGAGTCCTTAGAAACTGATTTAGCTTTCTTTTGAATTGGAGGAGAATTGGATTTCTCAGAAACAATTGTAGTGTCTTCGGGTTTCTCTTCTAACAAAGTTGGGGGGTCAGGTTGGATTCTGCCTTCTGAGAACTTGAGGGCATTGGTTAGTGAGGTCTCCTTGACAGTGATACCAGAACACACATCTGAGTTTTTATATCCTGAACGAGCGCAGCAATCATAGAGGGCTTGAAGAACAGGCTCACAATGCCATTCTTGATAATCATTAGCTGAAATCAAGGTTACACCTATAAAATAAAAAATCTTTAATGGGAAAATCTTAATTTTTTTTTAAAAGTATAAACATCCACAAACTGGAAGAAAATGTACATGTTATAAGAAAGTAATATAATTATAATAATCAAGAGCATGCTTTAGTTAAACCTGTTTAAAATAGAAATCAATACTGCGAGCCATTTGTAATCAGCTTTTTTTTCTAATTTTTCTGAAAGATACACCATAAAATACAGCTCTTTTTTTAAACAGCTTATTCTTCTTGATAACCTGTATAAGTCACAGATTAGATAGATAAAATGTTTGCAATTGATATTGAAATGGAATCTAATTTAGCAGTAGGTTTAAGTATCAAACCTTGAAGATAAGTTTGTAAATCACAAGCATATTTCTGACAAGGGTCTTTTCTGGGCATTTTTTGCTTCCATAGATGTAACTATTACTAGGCCTATTTTACAAGAGTTCAGTTGAGTAATTGAATATATAAATTATATCTAATGTAGCAGTAGGCTTAATTATCAAACCTTGAAGACAAGTTTGTAAATCACAAGCATACTTCTGACAAGGGTCTTTTCTGGGCATTTTTTGCTTCCGTAAATTTAACTATTAGTAGGCCTATTACAAGAGTCCAGTTGAGTACGTTGATTATAAGTTATATTCCTGATTTGCACAATGTTGGCAGTCAAGGCTGCTGTAGATGGGTTGTCAAGTCTATTGTTTTTAGATTGTCAAGTCAATTCCCATGTGGCAGCTATGCCTTGACATTTCTGTAGAGACGTGAGAAAGAGGAAAATAAATTTCAGGGATATAAGGGGGTTCTCTTCTTTAAATACTACATACAACACAAAAAGAAATTTTAAAATATTTATATGCTCCACCTACTATAAGCATTAGAGTAAGTATTAAAAAGTATATAATAATTTATATATTATTACTAAGTTAGTCCGTCTGTTGAAATGAATCAAGACTATTTTAAATTTTGAATTCGTGCTGGTTATGATTCTTTCTGTGATGGCTGATGACACAGATTCTGTCACAAATTATCTTGTGACGTTGGAGCCAGAAATGAATGGGACATCTCTAGGTGCCGAGTTGACCCAGGCGTTTTTGGCTTATCTTTTTTGCTCTTCAGCTGCTTTTCTGTTGATAGAACCAGTACCAGTATGTAAAGAGGAATGCCAAAATGCTTAATCATTGGCCATATCTTCCCATATGTCCCAGTTTATATTGAACCACTTTGATTGATGCTTTTAGGCTGGCTTTAAAGCGTTTGTTCTGCCCACCAGCAAATCGCCTTTCATGCTCAAACTCGCCATAAAATATTTTTTTGGGCAAGGGGCGTTCTGACATTCTCACATCAAAGTGGCTATTCGGACCTGGGTACCAGAAGTTAGAGGTTAGGATTTAAAAAAACTATTTTAAATATTATTGTTGGTTTTGTAAGACAAAATGAGGTATCAAATGAAAGATAATTGAATGGACTATATGTTTGTAACCTTACTTCTTCAGTTTAACTAAAATGAACTACCATGAATTACATCTGAATAGCATTGCAAATGGCGGCGATGCATGTCAGGGGCCATATGACATCCGAATGGGATTTAGTCAAAATGGATCCTGAACGCTATTTGGACCCGGGTCCCATTAGACTAAATGCTTTTCGGATGTCAATTGTGGTAGTTTATTTTAGTTAAACTGAGGAATTAAGTTTATAAACATATAGTCCATTAAATTATCTTTCATTTGATACCAAAATTTATCTTACAAACCCAACAATATAGTTTTAATAAATCCAACCTCTCATTGCCACTACTGATACCGGGTCCAAATAGCCACAGCCTTCTCACTTACACATGTCTTTCTCAAGCAGGGACGGCATTAAAATGATAAAGATGCTGTGGAGATATATGTCAGTATTTGATACTCGGACCCTGTCCTGCTATTTGATGCTGAGGACTGGGAATTTTCAGAAGTTCATCGTGTGAAAAAGTGCTTTAACTTTATTGCATCATAATCATATTATTGCAGTACTGTACTGTATACAACATAGCAAAGGCCTAACCATGCCATTATTTTACTATTTTACAACCTTTATTTAGTAAATTAAAATATCTTTAATATTCTTTTTAATTTGTGGTCTCTTCCTTTTTTAAAGTGTCTCACAGAAAAATTTACTGACACACTCAGTCAGTGTAACACTAATTATAGTTATAGTATTATTATTATGGTAATGGTACTATCACCACTCCTTAAATTAAAAGTTAAAATTTACATTGGTAGGTCTAAACTTTATTTATTATTCATTTGTGTTATTAATTTTTAAATTATAATTACAAATGTTGGATGACTATTAGCTCAACCAAGTATTATTACTGTGCTGCTTTACTTGTCTCCTTCGACCTACAACAGAACAATTAGAATTAGAATGAATAAATAAAATAACGGTCGGTTGGCACCTTCTTTACTCTTTACGTTAATCACACTCCTTAATTTCAGGCTTATGTCAGACTTGAGGACTGCAACATTTCTTTTGTACACTGAAGTGTTTAAATGTGTTTCATTAGAGGGTGGGATCTAATTATATTTTTAACTTTTAATCAAATATAAGAAAACAATTCAAGTGAGTGTTAAAACAACTTTCGAGCAGACTTACACAGTGCCGCCATTCGATCAAAACAAAGGGGTCAACCGGGGTCTAGGTCATCTGGGCTGGTTCCGTTCCCAGACTGCCTATTAATTAGCCAGATTACAACCATCAATATAAAAGGATAAATATATTAAAATTAATTCTTTATCTACGTTGGGAATTGAACATAGTATTCCTAAAGGCAGCAGTGCGCTGAAAAAAAGGAGGGGGTGGGGGGTCGTGAATCTGCTGCTCTTTGACTTTACTAAGAGTTACTATATTATTCGGCTCTTTGATATGAAAGTATTCCCGACGCCTGGCAATTTTCAATCCGAAGTTTTGAATTTAAAAAAAAAAGAAGTTATTTCTACTCGCAAATCCGTGGAGTTTGTCCATATTTTTTTGTTTTAATCCATTATTTTAACATCGCTATTGTTCGTGTTTCCTTCTGGCTGGGTGGGTGGCAACTTCTTCTGACGGCTAATTGACCCATTTGGAATCAACCTATCGGCCTAAAACTTGGTACGTAGACACGTTGCCGATGACAACACATTCTATCAAATTTTCAGCTAACCGCTCCAATGTTTTTCAAAGGGGTGACGAAGGAAATATGAGGCCACTGATTTCAAAAAATTAAAATTCCCGGTAACTGCGCTAAATGAGATTCTCTTTTAAAAAAAAATATCGCAAGTGCATTTGGTGCGTAATATATATATAAATATTTTTTTTCTGAAATAGTTGGTGAAATAAATCTGCAACGTATAAATGGGTAAAATCCATCCATTCACGAACACAATCGAAGTTAATATTTAAAATCCATATAAAGGATTTATACGAAACACTTTGTTTTTAGGAGCTGTTGAATTGATCGCATGCCTCGTGATGAAGTCAAAGGTCGCATCTGAGTTGATGTGCAGATATATTTTCAAAAATTAGGAGAAACAAATGAAAACATTTTAAAAGTTTCTTCTGTATTAAAATTTAATTGGACTCAAAGGGTCCATAGAGTGCCTTACTACCCCTCTGAAATACTTTTTTTGCGTGATAAATTTTAAGAAATTTATTTTTGTGCGTTTAACCTGATCTTCCAAACAAAAATTATTATTTTTTTTTAATTTAACATTTATGTTGCAATGTCACAACAGCGACTGGCCTAAATGGCTTTGAGCATTAAAATGAGTTCTTCACGAATAATGTAAAAAATTATAAATATCAATTGTTTAATAACTCAATAAGATTTCTTATTAAATGTGGCTACATTGAATAAATGGGATAAAAAGTGTTGTTTTTTACATGCGTAAATATTGTTTACATGTATAATAAAAATCCCTTTCTTTCTCAAATTTATCGGTGCAAGGCTCCAACCTCGAATAGGGCCGTACCAACCTCGAACAGGGCCGTACCAACCTCGAACAGGGCCGTACCAACCTCGAACAGGGCCGTACCAACCTCGAATAGGGCCTTAACAACCTCGAACAGGGCCGTACCAACCTCGAACAGCGCCGTACAAGGAAAAGCTACGCCCAGGTCACATATTTTTAATACCTCTCCCCCACGCACAATCCAGATAGAATAGGGCAGTACCAACCTCGAACAGGGCCGTACCAACCTCGAACAGGGCCGTACCAACCTCGAACAGGGCCGTACCAACCTCGAATAGGGCCTTAACAACCTCGAACAGGGCCGTACCAACCTCGAACAGGGCCGTACAAGGAAAAGCTACGCCCAGGTCACATATTTTTAATACCTCTCCCCCACGCACAATCCAGATGGATTTAGATCCAATCACAGTGGCGTAGTAGATCTGACACTTTGACTAAAGGCTTGGCCGTTGTCAACGATCGGCGTAGGCAACGAGCTTCAAAATCAGAGGGTGTTAAAAAGTGATTAGCGTATCATAATAATTGTGTGCCATAAATTGTCTTTGGGGTGTGGGCGCCTAATTTCAAGCTTTGCACCTCACGCAGCTTTACTTTCTATATCTTTGATGGCTGTTTTGTGTGTGTGTGTGTGTGTTGTTTGTTTGTTTTGTTTTTTTTTAAATATGGTCTCTTCGTGCGCCTTCCCAGAGACAATGTAAAAACACATTATACAACATTGAATGTGTGCGTGGCAACAGTGTGGATGTGTTCCAGAGTTACGATTAACTGTGTGATTGTGTAAACCAGGTGTCACCAAACTTTTTTTTACGGCAGGCCGGTTAACGGTTTAAGATGAGGTGCGCGGGCCAGATAACAATTCTCTATGTACAATACTTGCAGCCAGAACGAAAGCTGTTTGGGGGGGGGGGGGGAAGAAAAAACTAAGTTTAGAATTCTGGGTTAAACATGGTTCAGTGGCGTGCAATGCAAAAAAAAAAAACAAAAAAACAAAAAAAAAAAAGCCAAGACAACAAACATATTTAACTCAAGCTACTTGGTAGGTTTCAAATGACGTCTTCATTTGTTGTTTTACAATACATACATCTTGTTTTATGCTGATATGAGTTCGAGTTTGAACCACGTTAAATTTTACCAGTAACTTTATTTTGAACATTGATAGACTGTGATAATGTGATACATGCATCCACTAAATATAAAATAATATCAATAGCAAATACACGGCTGCAAAATAAAGTGACGTCAGATTGTAATATAAATTTTGGTCATCTACTTTGAGCAGTTCACATTTTTGACGCCAGCTTAACCCGATCCGACTAGGTTATTGCGATGTGAGTAGTTATTGTATTCATTTTATATACTTACATACTGTATATTTATGTATTTACTATTCGTATACGGTACTGTATTGTACGATTTTAGACGATGTTTTACAATTTTAGGAGTTCAAGGGTAAACAGGTCTGTAATAAACAAGATAATCTAGATACAATAATTGAAAATGGTTAATTAAGGCGTATAACAGCCAGGAGGTTTCCGCATTTGTGAAGATCTCCTGTTAATCTAAACATAATATTGACATTTAAATTGTATCACAAAGTCTCGTGTTCCATACGTTTTATCAAACAAGTTCAAATACCGTCGGCGGGCCGGATGAACTGGCCGCACGGGCCGGATCCAGCCCGCGGGCCATAGTTTGGTGACCCCTGATGTATAAATTAAAAATGTGTGTACTTTGAGCACTGTAAAGTTTCTGTGACTATGACTTTAGTAACTTTGTTTTTTTTTATTTTTGAGTAAGAAATTAGCATTTGTGTTATTGTTCCAACAGTAACAGAATGTAATTTTCTGCGGAGCCCATTAAACATTGTAATTTTTGCCTGTGCGGTACAATGTGTGTGATTGTTATGTTTACAGTAAGGTTTGTGTGATTGTTGCATGTGCTTTACAATTGGTCTGATTGATTGCCGCTATGCTTACAGTTACACGTCGTGTGATTTTTGTCCATATTTGCCTGATTGCCAAACATTGATAAATGGACAGAAAATCATCAATTTGCAAGTGAACTTCTTTTTTGTTTATTGTCATTAATATCATAATAATAATGAGTATTATATTTTAGCTGTTGAAGGGACT